GCTTATTTTTATTAAGTAGCACATTAATTTTGTTTTATAAGCCTAATGAACTCAAATAATATCGAAAACTTTTGCCTCGTGGCGCTATTTAAAAATATAGCAAATTGTGCAAAAAGCATCCAATTAAAACTTTCACACAATTGTATGGTCGGGCCAGCCCAGAGCAGGCCAAACTAAACAGCCAGACAGAAAAGTCGGTCTAACAATGATTTAGTTCTGTGGTAAAGTAGCAGCAACAACAATTCTATGAATAACTTTATACTGTCGCCTATCTAACGAGCTGCAAAAATGTGAAGCGTATTATATGATATACTTACCAAATATATGTATAAGCTGGAGGGGGTGTGTGAGGTTTGGTCTACGATAAAGGATTTCCGCTTGGTTGCTTGAAATATGAGCAGATTTTCACAATAATGTTGAGGAAAAGCCGTCTCACAATTTATTATGCACTGGAAAATGTGTTATATTTCTTCTTTTGTGATAATCATCAACATCATCATGAATCGCACGCACGATAATTACAACGAATGGTTGGGGGAATCGGGGAACTAGTTCTAAATATAGCCCAGACCCCGATGTGACAATGTGAGAGGCGTGTTTGGATTTCGCAATTGCAATACGATTGTTAACTATACACATAATACGATTTTATGGTTATGGTTTGCGCTCTTGAGTGGAGCCAGAAGGAATAGAATAAGAGGCCCTGACGAAAGTATTTATTTTTTTTTTTTTTGGGATATCGACTTACGTTGAGGCGTCAGTCGGCGCGTCGCGACATTGAATGAATGTCTTATGGCTTACGGCTTATGTCTGCGCTTTAAATCCCTCAACCCAAACCCACCCGCTATACGCCACGCTCCCCAGCACCACTCCCCCACCCCCTCACTGTCCATCAGGGGTCTAACATTGTTTTGCACTTGGATGACAGCTCGCTGCTTGAAGTATTTTCCAGTTTGCTCACGTATTAATTGCTCGAGTGGAAGCGACGACAGCAGCTACAAAAAAAAGAAAAAAAAAAACCGAAAAAAGACGAAAAAAATCACTGACGACGAAAACAGAAAAGTTATCGACCGAAGCATGTTTTGTTTTTGATGTTTTTTTCGCTTTTCATCTTTTCTTTTCCTTCAGTTTTAGGCTGTTGTCGAAATTTGCCGAAAATATTAACAAAATGCTTCGATTGTCATATTATCCTTAATGTGTTTCGTTTTCCTACTTCTTCCATAAGTGTCTGATATTTTGATTTATGAATGAGTGCGATTTTTTTTGCGGCTCAAGCAACATATTTTTATGCTATATGATTTCGAATCTATTGCGTTGTAAATCAATTTGAGCTCAGGGTGAATTGAAATAGTAATTGGGTAGTAGCTAAGAGCAGAAAAAAACAAAACATGTACGAGGTTCTAGTCGGGAGCTCCCGGCTAGGGGATACCCTGAACCGTCCTCTTGCAACATCAAATGCATATATATATTCTATTTTAGAAGCTATATTTCAAGTTTGGTGATTCTAGCTCTTGTTATATATCGAAATTGTCCAAAAAACAGGATATCGATATCGATTTTGATCGATTGCTTGGAAACGGAGTAAGTTATCGATTATCGGAAACAAACTCGATCTGCGCGGGCACTAGGAACACCTACATCTAAAATTTCTCTAGCTCTTATAGGCTCTGAGGTCCTTGCGTTCATTCATACGGACAGACGGACAGACAGACAGACGGACATGGCTAGATCGACTCGGCTATTGGTGCTGATCAAGAATATTTATACTTTATGGGGTCGAAGATGCTTCCTTCTGCCTGTTACATACATTTGGATTTTGCACAAATATAATATACCGTTATACCCATTTTTAATGGGTTCAGGTTATAAGATCTAAAGTATCTTGGAATTCGACAGGCTCTTTATTGTTAAAGATATTATATTGATATTCCTATCGATAGCAAAACTTTAGTAACATAGCTAATGCTGTCAACTAAGACATTCAACAATATTATTATTAGACATATAATATCAATATTCGAAATTTGTTTTGTTACCTAATATAAGGCCTACTTTTGCTTTTAATGAGGTTTATACTTATTTAGTCTAAGTCTACCCGGCTTTGCCTGCAAATACGAAAACATATTTGTTCTTCACAGGGGCTCGAACCTTCTTACCTAGTCTGCCCACCTTGCTACTCAATTAACTTCTAGGTGTCTGCTTAAAAATACTTCATTATTGTTGACAATTTTAATAATAAAGTCAATTCCAATATCTTGTTTGGTAAATTTATTATTTTATTTACTTTATAATTAATCAACAAATTAAAACAATCATTGAAAATCGCTGTGCAATAAGCGTTGTATTCATTTTATAATCTAGTCATAATTGTTTGTAATTTGTTATTTATTTTAAGAGTAAGTACGCACTCTTATTGTTATTGTCAACTGTCAACAATTTCGATTCTTCTATCCTGTCTAGCTTTGTATTTCTTGTTTTGTATGCCACACAATATTTTCTGTCTCTGCCTACCCCTACCACTCTAGCACATCCTTAAGATTTTTTCCCACTCTTTACATGTTCTTTAGACTTACCTTTTACCCAAGTATAGTTCCGACCGCCCTTACTGCTGTCGCCTGCTGTTTGTTTTCTCTTTCTTTCTCTCATTCACTTGAACCTCATGTTCGCAGAGCAGACATCGGAGTCGTGAATTGCATAGGAAATACGCACTCTGAGGCTTATATTTAAAATCGAGGCACTTTATGAATGCCGATTGCATACGCCTGTAGGGTGCAACAAGGGGCAAGGGGGAAGCAATTGCAGAAGTGGCCACTGAAAATTCATCACGGAAGTCGTAAATAATGCTCCCAGACATGTTCAATGGACGGACGTGCAGACGGGCCAGCCAAATGTCATAGTGTGAACCAAGCACTGACTATATGCACATATATATGCATATTTATAGCCTTAACCCATTAAGGCCAGAGGCTGCTGCGAGAGAGCGAGAGAGAAGGTTGTAACATAGAAAGAGTAAGAGCTTGGGCTGCTGTTATGGTTCAATAGCTGCTCGTCTTTCATCTTGACCGATGTGCCGCAAACAGCTGCCGAGTGGCAGGCATCAAAGTTTGGCAGCACAGTGCCCAGCAATTCATCACTTTGAAACAATAGAGCAGCCATTCGCATAGAGCATAGAGAAACGGCTCGAATTCATTTCAACGCCCTATTATATATCACTTAGAGTGCCACGAAATGCCACACATTAAGATGCAGCAGCAGCAGACGAAAATCTGTTAAATATGTTACAAAAATGTGTTCACATATTTAGCATGCGCCTCTCAAGTGGACAGGCCCAAGGCCCAACAACAAATTCAGTTCAGCTTGGCAAGCCCCCATTCTGGAATGTGCCATACTATAGCATAAATTGCATTCGCTGCTCTGTTTTGTTATACCCTGTATCCATGGTAAATGGGTGTGGGAAATTTATGTGATAGACAGAAGATGGCATCTTCGAGCACATAAATTTCACTACTATTTTTTATTTTTGAAAAATATTGAAAGTGTTACAAATTTATTTTGTGAAGCTGTCTACAGGGTATTTTCTGGCCAAGCACTTGCTTCAAGCGCACTTTAAGTTCTCTTCTCGTCTGTTCGGGTTCGGTTTTGCGTTTGGATTGCTAATGTTTATGTTGATGTCTAGTAATAGCCGGCTTGTTCGTGATCATGTTGAACACATGTTGACAAAGTGTGAGTTCAGATCTGCCACCCGGTCTGTAAGTAGCACCAAGACCCGCCGCAGCAGCCACATCCAAAATGCAACTGAAACCAAACGGAAGCGATTCTTCTTTCTACTCTGCTCTTGCACTTATCATTTCGACAGAATCTTGGAAACAAGCAGAAGTTAAGAAACGTATTCTCAAGAAATATTTGAAAAGTCGAGTGAAAAATGTCTGAGAATTACTTGAATGTAATTAAATAATATAGTAATAATTTGAATATAAAAAGAATCTCCAATCTCTCCAATCAAAAATCTTAATTGTCAATTTTAAAAATCCAATTCGTTTCATTTATTAATGATTTTAATTGTTCTATTCGTAGTTCTAGCGTTTCATAATACTTATATGAATATGTTCGCTATTAATGCAAATACATTTGCCAGTACACAGTAAACAACAATCAACATCAGATAAAAAAAAACAGCCCTCGAGTCTGCAAAATACAATGGAATTTCATTCAATATACAATTATTCTTATTTTTCTTTACTATTATCAGTGGTTTCGCTTGAAGGTCACCAAGCAAGACTCTTAATGAGCCGCAGCGCACTCGATGCTTGGCTTGTTTGCGGGGTCATCTTTGTTAGTTGTTCAGATTTAAATGGATTGGCGTATGGTATGGTATGGTGCTGTATATATTTTGAAAACTTTGAAACAAACAAATACTATTTCATTGGTATTTATAAACTGGCTAAAGTAAAAGCAAGTCTATGCGCATTGGAGATTATAAAAGTTAGACCTGACCTGAAGCAAACCGATCCAACCGACCTGAGTAACTATAAATGGTAAACTAACCAAATTTAGTAGACCTTCCACAAATATAATTTTAAATTTAATTTGATTTTATACCGTTAGCTACGTACTAAATTGTTTCAAATGAGTTTTATATACAATTACAACTACTTTTTAAGGCCATGTAAACTATTGGTAAACTATTGTATTAATCCACAGTCATTTCTACCATACTTATTACATACCACTAAATATATATACCTATATCAATACATTTCCATTTTCAAAGAGTAAATCTAAAAATTTCTTATGCATGTGTTACAATATGGTATTATTTCAATATTTAGAAAATGTTTTTTCAGAGTTTACAAATGTTTGGTTGGTTCAAAATTAATCCAAAAAGCGAAAGACACTTAACCAACTGCGTAGCAAATTGATTTGGCTCACTAATTATTCAAGCCAATTAGTCTGCTGTTAGTTAGGCTTTGTAATTGTGAAAATACAGAGTTCACTTTCAGTTGATCCACACTTATATTTTACTCGAGTTGAAGGCGAAGCAGTACAATGATATTTTTGAAAGCCCATGCATTGCTGTTTATAGGTGTTTTATTGGTAACTCTAACATTCCACGAAGCCAACTCATATAGAAGTAAGCGATTGCGTTTCTTTCATATTGTTATATGCTATAAATATTTCCGGATTGTTGCCTAGGGTGCTCCATAAACGAGGAAGAGCGATGCAAATGCTTTGAGAGCTCCTGCTTTCAGCTTTTATATGATGGGGAAAATTGTACACCCTGTAAAAAAGAGTGCCAGTGTAAAATTGGTTTTGTACGCAACAGGGGTATGTGTATGAAAAAAGAAAAATGCTGCTCGGGTTCTGTTTGTGTATCGAAAAAGGAGCAAATTATAAGAACCATACGTCAAAAGATGGAAAAGCCGACCGCCAGGTTGAGTCAATTCAAGTAAAATCGATTATGTTCGCAAGAATAATGTTCAATAATGCTTAAAAATACAAATAGATTTGCAGAGCTTGCCTACAAAATTTTAAAATGTTGCTGTATTTAATAAATTTTTTTTATAGATTTCATTGTAATGCAAATTCCGAATTCTTTGCTTGTATAACAAACTGTTGTTGGCTTTGGGCATTTCGATGTCGTTTATATATAAATATATTTTATAAAATATGAAAAAAAACGCAGCTGTAAATATCTTGCAAATTTATAAGACGAATAACATGAGAGCTATATACCCTCTTTTATTTTCGGGGAGTTGAGAAACAATGAGATGTAAAATCGATAACAACTTCCTACCTTGACGCCTTTCCAGTGCAGGTAAATCTCAGTCAAAGTGTCGCTGAGTGGTTGTGCACACACGCACACACACAAAGGCGTAGATGTTGAGGGGTAGCGAGGCCAACAAAAATCAATGAAACAAAGCAGTCTAAGCCGCTCCAGGATACGTGCGGATTATAAGCCGGCGCCCAGATGCGACAAAGGCCCTAACAATGGCCACGTACCGCGCCGAGGAGAAGCCCAAGCCAAGCAGGCATTCTTTTATCAATGGCATCAGAATCTGGCCACAATTTCATCTGGCAGGCCTCAGTTCTGCAGCTCTTCAGGTGGCAATGTTTTGACAGCACCTCAAACCAAAATGTGTTAATAGAAATTGACAACGTTGTTGCAGTTGTTGTTGTTGTTGCTCAATACTTTGAAAACAGGAAATCGGAGCGTGACAAAAATTTATAAATGCTTTTTACACATCTTCTACACACAGCCTTAATATTTTCCGTTTCGATTTATGTCTTTCAAACTGTAAGACTCTGTTGTTGTTCTTCTTGTAAGCCCAAAATTGTTAATTTCATTGAGTCCAGATAATTGTGCAGCTGTCTGTTGCATACGAAATGTGACTTTAATCAGCTGCAATTTTGTTGGACAGTGTTAAAGGGTTTTTTGATATTGTAAATGGCCAGTTAGCTGATCAGGCGCTCGGCTGGCGCCTTTCTCAAAACAATTTTACTAACCTTTTCTTTATTTTATCTTAGCTCAGCAAATATCAACTAGATAATTATGTGTTTCCAATTGAAATCTAGCTCTGAACCTAACTTCTAATTGCCTTAATTTATATAGCTTACCTGGCGCTTTTCTTTCATCAGTTTGGTTTGGTTCTATTTATAGTTGTACTTTTTTTTCAAAAGTTGCAAAACGTTTTTTTTTTCTAGCTAATTGAGTTGCCATTGCTTAACAAGCATTTCCACACAATTTGCCCATTCAGTTTTAAGTGTTTTGCCCACTTGGAGTTAGGCAAGCAGATTGAATACATTTCTAGCTGGGCCCCAGCTTCTCCCCTCGCTGTCTATTTTTATTTGACGACGAAAAGTGCATTGACATTGCCCCAGTGCAAAATTCATTGGCAGCCCATGCCAATTTTAATTTCTTTTTTTTTTATTCTTTCTTTTTCTCTTCCATCTATCGCTGGGCTTAATACCCTGTTGCTAGAAGAGAGCAGGCAGGGCATACCAAATTTATGGTCAGCAATCTTCAAGATGCACTTTCTAAAGGAGGCTTATGGTTTAACAACATTAATTTTGTGCAATTTTCATATAGTTAATTCTTTAAGCTTAGAGTGTTTCATGTTTAATTAGCAAGAAATACATTAAGTATGGATATTGTTATATAATCTTAAGTTTTATTGTACTTGTTTTAATTTACCAAAATAAAGGGTATTCTTTAGTCTGGCAACTTAGTGGTGCATTTCCTTGCACCAACCCGCATACGCTGAGCTGTGCGATTGTTAAATGCCGAGCCCAGCCAGGGCCAAGCAAGTTCAGAGACAGAGACAGGGCCCAGAGCGTTCCACCAACTGCCGCAAATGCCGCGTGACGCATAGAAATGTTTCAATTTTATATATGTGTACACATTTTATTTTTTATATATGCACAGACTTACATATATATATATATATACATTAAAAACTAGGCGCACAAACTGCATATAATCAACAACCATAACAACCACAACCACAAGAACAACTACAACAACCAGAACAACATTCATTTTAATGTGACAATTGCTTTGTATTGCATTTAAATTTTACATGCGTTACAATGGGTTCATGCTGCTTCTGGGTTTTGGTGTTGATTTGTATGCAATTTTTCTAATTTATGTCGCCATTTGAATTGCAGAGCAGTGGCTCGCATAAGCAAAACCAGGAACTAAAGTGTCAAAAAAGCCAAATTGTTGTTGACCCAGTTGCTTACAATTAATTCGCAGAGCTGAAAAAAATCCAAAAACAGAGCTCGTCTCAGGCACTTTTTAATGTAGCCTGTTGAAAATTAATGCAGTTTTATAAGATAGAATTAAAAATACATGTATAGTTATTTCAATATACAATACAGCTTAAAACAATATAGTATGTATTAATAAAATGTTTAAAAATTATTTTAATTTAGCAATTATTTAGGGGGAAAAGTTTAGATCCGAAACTTCTAAACTTTCTAAACTTCTTTATGTGCCCAATCCAAATAGGCTAAAAAGTCCTTAGCTGAACTGAATTAGATATTTAATAAACAATTGTATTTTAAGTAAATATTACAATTTGCAAGTAGTCGGCGCCGTAGCTCAGGAATTTTTTTTTAGATAGAAAGCTTAAATTTGATATTTGGGCTTGAGAGAATTTGTTAGGTGCGTTTGATTAAAGCCATAACCCAAGCACATCTCGAAGTCTCTACGTAATTTGATCTAATAAAATGTTATTAAGACCCCCATAAAATTTCATAATTTATAACTAAAATCTCACAAGGATAGCCAGTATATTCGCATTTCAGCACAGTCTTTTTATTCAAGAATTCAATTTGGGCATCGCGTTAATGCGTTAAATCAACTTCACACGTCACTCAACTGAAATTTATGCCGCCCCCGTTGTATTCAACGAGCATCGTTTCCATTTCGAATATTTTATTATTGAAATGTCGATTATCTTAATCTAACACTTAAACATTCATCAATCAAGCGCCTAATGCCACTTCAATGCGGCCCCCAGAGACCCACACATTGCCGCACATTCTGTGGCATCCGAGTGGGTTAGAGATTGTGCGGCATTGTTCTTTGTCTCCTACTTTTTTTTCAGTTTTTTGCTGTTGCTGTTTCTGTTGTGGCAGGCAGGCCTCATAATGTTGACGTTTGTCAACATTAACTACACTTAATTCAAAATGTCAGCAACGCACAAGCACACTCTCATGCCTAAATTCTGGCTGCCACTTGTTTCTTGCATGTGCTTGTGTGTGCGTGAGCGTGTGTTTGTGTGTGCTCTGTACATTATTCGAAGTTGCAAAACTTTTTGTCGCCAGTTTAGCGCACGTCCAGTCCCGGAGCGATCGGTCACACGTTCATTCTCCCTTCGTATACCTCTTGTAGAGCTGACGCTTCTAAATGAGGGTATATTCAATTATATAAGTTAATTTCCATCCTGTAAGTTGAATACTCTCTGTTGGACTGAATATCTCTGGATCTCTTATTATGTGAGTTCTTTCCATCATTTGCAGACTTCATTTGATGTAAGTACTAGACTATATGGCCTACATTCATAGCTCAAATAGTCGAATCACATATATTCTCGTTGATAAAAGGTACTCGATGGAGTGAAGTGGATTTCATACTGTCGCAGTGGACTGTATATTAATTTATAGGTCTCTGAATTACTTAGTAAAATCGAATTTAATGAATTATTATATATTACGTAGTTAAGCCACATCACAAGTAATCTATGAATTTTGTTTGAATTTATTGATTGATCACGGAATCTAGAGGCTAGATAGTTGATTCGTTCTGCCCATCTGGCTGTCCATCCTTTATCTCACGACCTATTAGATATGAATAGAATAAGTTTAATATGAGTTTAATAAGTGCGTACTGAGTACCTCAGTGCATCTTCCAAGAAATTGAATAGACTCCCGCAATTGCTGAACTTCAGCGAATATTAATTTCAATTATATCAATTTATTCACTTGAATTTCCCAACAAAAAGACGCACTTCTCTTGAGTATGCATATTATTAAATTATTAGAGGATATCTTCTATTCTCGCACACTTTTATTACTACTTTATGGTGTTGCATAAATTACGCAATAAAAATGTCGCAACAATTGAAAAGTTGGCTGTGCGTTAAACTGCATAAAGTGCAACAATTATAGTCAGGCAATTGTGATGTGCGCCCTTTGCAGCATTTTGTATTGCAATTAACGACAAGTTTGCTTCCTAGTTTCTCTCTACCCCTTTCCATTTTTCTTTTTCTACGTTTTTCGTGCTGTTGCATGCCTCATTCAGTGGATGATTAGAACTTGGCGAGTGGAGCGCATTAAATTTGTTCCTTATAAACATTCAACTCGTTGAATTGTTTGCATTTTTTATTTTTGCATTCTGGCGGGGCTTCCGTTTGGCGAGGAGTGTCTTTAATTGCCGATAACCATTGTAATTGCCCCTGTTTATTTATTTTGCCATTATTCTGGCGAGCTATTCGGGAGCAGCTGCTCTTTGGATTGTATTCGAGAACTGGATAGTAATGAGTCCAAAGTTGAGTTGTTTTTATTGTTTAAACAATTTTTTAGAGCTCCTAAAGTTTGAATTTTCATAAAATTATGGAAAAGTAAGGCAACACTTAAGCTTAATGAATTAGGGAAGTATAATGCACGTAAAAAATAGCTAGAATATAAATATAAATCGGTTGCAAGAATTTTACAGCTTAAGTAAATGTTATGGGTTGAAAATTGAATAAAACCGAGAAAGGCTATCTTCGGCACGCCAAACAAGAAGCACAGGGAAAAGAGTTAATGCCGAGTTTGGTCCAGATATCTTGATAAAAAAAAGGTTTTTAATCAAAAACCTAGTTTTCGATCGATCGTTCCTATAGCAGATATATTATATAGTAGTCTGTACGATTTTGCAAAAATGAAGGGAGCATAGTGAAATCTATAAATACCGTGTTTAAGCAAAATATCCTGAATGAAAAAAAGTTTTCCATACAACATCTTAATTTTCGACCGATTGTTCCTGTGG